GCACATCAGCTGTTTGTGCATTTGTGCATGTCTGTGTATGCATGTGCTAGTTTTTGCGTCACTTAGCGGAGTGTTAGTGTTGTTACTGAGGGCAGGGCAGCGCAGGAAGTCCTGACTTCCTCCTTCATAACTGAGCCTCACCCTGCCCACGACAAAGATGTCCGCCGGACTTGACTCACCGGAGATGGACTGAAGGGCTCTCCAGTGTGTGTGTTTGTGTATGTGTGTGTGTCTGTGTATGTGCATGTAGGATCACATGCTTCACACCAATTCGGGATGTGTATATACAGCACACTGGGCTATTTTAAAGTTGTCTCCCACATTTCCTGCAACTGCAGGCAATCCCCTCCTCCATCTCTCTTTTTTATGTTCTCTCTCTTTTTCACTACATTTGCCATCATGCTCTATTTTGTCTTTATCTTTCTGTGTCTCCTTTTCTTTCCCAGAGCTTCTAGTAGCCATATCAGTTGACTAAAAGATCTATGGGGGATTGTTTTATATTTATATCTTAGATATGACAATAGACCATACTCTACAGTGTGTGTGTGGTTGTGTGTATCTGTGTGTGTGTGTGTGTGTGTGTGTGTGTGTGGTTGTGTGTGGTTGTGTGTGTGTGTGTGTGTGTATATTGGCCAAGCAGTAGAGGAAGCTGTCGTGGGAGTGTCTTGCTCTTGGAGCTCCAAGGACAGATAACATTACCCTGCTGATGCTTACATAACTTCCAGGCAATGCCACATCACAACTGACCCAGACACACACGCGCACACACGCGCACGCACGCGCGCGCGCACACACACAGATGCAGACACAAACACATACAAAATACTCATCTAGACCAGACAGCTGTCTCCATGGGGCTCTGATAGGTTATACAAAGATTGTGTGTGTCACTGTGTGTATGTGTTGTAGATTAAAGGTAAATGCTTTTATTAAATCTGTCTATTTTGTAATGCCATGTTTTTTTTGTTGGTGTGTTTTTGGAAAATCCATCAGATTCTAGTTGTTTTGTATGTAGGTCAGCTCACAAACAGGCTCCTTTGGTTTGATACCAATACACACAAACACACACACACACGCTTTCCCAAGAGGGTCTGTGTTTCCTTTCAATGTGGTAACCACATGTGCAGATCTGAATTGAAGGGGAAGAGAGAAAGTGTTTCACTTTTTTCTAAACCTGAATACTGCTTCAATCTGATGGACTGAACACAAACGTATAAGCACAGTCCTCAATAATCACACTGACTGTCAGCACTGTTGATCGATAGATGGGTATGTTTATGTAGTGTGCATTATTACGGATGTAAGTAATATGCATGTATGAGACCAGAACTCTTTCTGTGTTTGTGTGTGTATTGTGCTTTGGGGGCCCAGTCGCAGCTGTCTTTGACAGCTGCATCATGTGAAACATCTGATGAAATGTTGCATCATCTCTCTCTGTGTATGTGTGTGAATCTATATACAGGCATCTGGACAAAATCACAAGTTTGTGTTTCTTTTATTTTTATTTTTGTGTGTGTGTGTGTGTGTGTGTTCAGCATGACGGTGCGGTTCTCTTTTTCTTTGACATTAAACTTGGGTTCATTGTTGCCCTACATTCACCTTTCCCACAAAATGTTTTTTCCTTTGGATTTTTGTGTTTTTGGTTTTGACTTGTTGACTTGTTGGCTCTTTCTCCTCATGTCTACATTGTTTTCACATTCAACACCTGTCCGTCTTTCTCTCTGGTCTTCCCCCTGTGTGTCATGGTTGTGCTTTGTCTATCTTTGTTATAGTAGTTTGTCATCATGCCTGTGGTCTTCTTGGTTGCTCAAGACAGCAGCTCTCAAACAAATATGTGCACATGTCACTGACCCCAAAATGAATGCACATCTGACCGCAGACCATAAGACCTTTTATTTCAGTGTTCCTTGCAATGGGGATGCTAAGACATAGATGTAGTATTGAACAACCTAAACACGTGTGCTGTTACTAAACAGATAAAAGAAGTGAGAGTGAAAATGTTTTTACATCCAAAATAACTCTTGAAATGTGTAAAACAAAACCTTTAATAACTCATTTTGTTTTTATTTCAATTTGTTAGTTGTCATTCAGCAGATATGATATAATGATAATATTAAATGATCACCCTGCCCAAACTCTTATCCTTTGTTTGTGTGTTTTTTTCGAGGAATGCATTCAGTGTATCGGAGGATACGAGCTGTAGGTGACAGTTTGAGACTAGAGACATCAGGGCTTATGGCAGTGGTTCTCAAAGTAGGGTATAACAGAATGTACGGTTATTGCGGTAATGGTTTTCACGCACTTTCTCTAATAAATAAATCATCTAAAAACAAAAATCCTATTAGATTGGGATTGGGGACCCTGGGACAAACTCTTACAGGGGTACGTGGTCTAATTTGTATCCAATTAGGGGTCTTTGATGTGAAGAAGTTTGAGAACCACTGGTTTATGGGATATGTAGTCCTACTGTAATTATGATAAATACTGACCTGCTAATAATCTTGACTACAGTCTCATTTCTTTTTGCTTACCAAGTTATCAACTTTAAATAGGACTATAAAATGAACTATTCCTCATTTGGCCAAGTACCGCCTAGATGTGTCTCACGCGAATGCCCCTGTTGCTCAGGTAACGCAGTGATGTCACATGCAGGATATGACCTCATAACTGATCTCTGACCTGAGCTCTCCGGCACTCGGAAGCGGAAGAAGCAACAGATGGAAAATGGGGGCGGGCAAAGGGGAGAGGAGTGTGTTAGCTTCGTTGTCTGGGATTCCAGCAGGATTAGGCAGAGGAAGTCGGGACTCTGTTTGCGGTGCTTAAAGGGCAAAGCTGGAGGCAAGACTAGAAAATGACGTTACTACAATGTCGGTCATGGAACACACTCACTTTTACGTGCATGTGGACACACACACGGATACAATACCAACCACTCACATACACATGTTCAACTGTTTAATTATCCTGAGCTTTTCTAAATGGCCAACAGTCTAATACTATACAGCTGTGTGTGTGTGTGTGTGTGTGTGTGTGTGTGTGTGTGTGTGTCTGTGATGGGTAGCAGGACAAAAAGTGTCTTGTATTTTGGGGAGGCGTTGGGGGGTAGTTGGGCCTGCTAGGTCCAGTCTTAGGGGCCAAGGATAGGAATATTCACTGTGTGTGTGTGTGTGAGCAGAGGAATTCTGCTGTTTGCTGAGTGAAGAGCACAGAGGCAGCAGAGACTGTCCAAACACACGTCTGTTTGTCAAGAGAGTGTGTGTGTGTATATATGTGTGTGTGTGTGTCTGAGAGAGGGCGAGTGAGACACAGAGAGAAAGTGTATTTGGGACCTTGTGTGAGCAAGAGGGAAAGTGTGCTATGAGCATTGATGGAAATAGGTCTAGAGAAGCTCTTTGTGTGTGTGTGTGTGTGTGTGTGTGTGTGTGTGTGTGTGTGTGTGTGTGTGTGTGTTCTCCCCATGCTGTGACCTTTCACTCAATGAAGACTTTCATATCCACTCCTAGTCTCCATGGTAGGGAGGCAGACAGGACTGAAAGAGGTCTGTCTCTTCATACCTGTGACCTACTCGCCATGCACACACTAGCATACACTGCAGGCTTTGCTGAGGTTGTGTTTGAGCATGCTTAGGCGTGAGTGTGTGTTTACTGTACTGTTACCTGTTTGTTTGGCTGATGAGAGGTCAGGAAGGTGGGTGAGAGATGGAGGGGTGGAAGGAAAGAGGGGAGAAGAAAGAGGCAAGAAAATAAGGGAGAGAATGACTGAGGGAAATAAGAAAGAACTAAGTCAGAAAGGGAGGAAAGGATGAAGTGAGTAATATTTGATTTAAAAAGAGGGAGTGAAGGATGTGAGTAATAGGTGAAGGTAGCGAAAGAGGGAGGATCATGCAGGAGTCATTCCTGAAAATGGGGTGGAGGGGTGGAGGAAGAGGGGAAAGGAGAGGAAAAAGATGGAAAGAAAATGCAGGATGAAGTGAGTAAGAGGGAGGGTATAGAGAGTGATAGAGGGAAGAATAGTGAGACACAAGAGGGGTCACAGAGGGAAATCTGTTGAAGAAAGGCAGACATGATGAAAAGGAAGAAGGGTGGAAGGAGAAAAGAGCAAAGGAGGGATGAAAACAGGAGCTAAAGGGTCAGTTCACCTAAACTACAAAAGGGAAAAAAAAATGTTTTCTCAATTATTCCTCTAGAGGTATGTAATAAAACAGTAAAATATTAATAACTGGGTGAAATCACCCTTTAAAGGAGACCAGGTTTAAAATATTCAACTGAAACTTGACATGTGTAAACATGGACAGAAACTATTAGTATCATACATGTGGGACCTCTGTGTCTATATGTGTGTGCAGCGTGATTTATTCTGAGGCCAGGTCTGCCTCCAGCTGTCCCACTGGGGTCTGAATGACTTTACCAGCCGCAGACCTCCATCTCAGAAAGATGGAGGAAGAGAGAGATGGAGATTTGGCGGGGGGTGGGGTGTAGCTAGTGGAAAAGTCAACATAATCTTCTGCTAGTTCCATTAGATTTTCTCTTTTAGTGAGCGGTCATGGTACACCCATGTGTTGTACATCTATCCATCATGACGCTACTGTTGAGTGCAGACATCATCATCTCCAAAAGCTTCAAGTCTGTTTGCAATCATTTACAGTTATGTTTGTATACTTTTTTGTGTCATGCCGGAAGATTTTATGGGAAAAAGTCTTCCAATTGGTTGATTACTTTTAGGACACTGATCTTGGATAATAATTTTTCATTCAATACATTGATAGTTTACTTTACAGTAATACAACCTATATAATACAAACCTTAAGTTGAACCTTTTAATTTAAACAGGCTGATCCATTTGAATGAGGGGCATTTTAACATAAAGTGTAATCTGTGTCACACTTTACACTGGCTTGCCCTTCAGTGTGTGTGGCTGTGTTTGTGTCCCTGTTGATTGTAAATGAGAATTTACTTTAGCATGAGCTGCCTGGTTAAATAAATAATTCTTCTCCCATGCAGGTCCTGCTGAGGTTCCCATGATGTCCCCAAATGGGTCAATCCCCCCCATCCACGTACCCCCAGGATACATCTCACAGGTAAGTTTGTGTTTAGATGTGTTTTTCCTCAGTCTGATACTCTCAGACATGTTTTTATTTTAATGTTCTTCATGTGTTTGTGTGGGAGAGTTTCAGTCAAAATAACAGTTAGGCACAGAGGGAGACCACAGAGTGTGGGACTGCATTTAATTAGCTAGTGGTTTCTTTTCTGAAAAAAAGGCTTCTTATGAAATCATGTGATCTTATATTGACTCTTAAAATCATATTTTTCTTAGTAACAAGCAAGTTCAACATTTAAAAACTTTTCCAAAATTTGATTTGTTTCCAAGGCAAATATATTATTTAATTAGGTGCCAGTTCACTGGTGCTAATTGAGCAGCCAACTTTGGTTCAACATACTGAAGCTTGTTTCTGGAAAATTCATGAAATGCTGTAAGGAAAATTAAATCAAAGTTATGTATTTACAGCCAAAAAATGTCAAGTTACACATTTCTGTGGAGGACTCGCTGATAGACTTAAAACTTTTTTGTTGAACAACTGTCAGACGTGGGTCAAGTGGTTATCATTAAACAACGGCAAGCATTAATATGGTGGATATAAGAGTATTTGTGGAGATCTTGTGCATATCAAACCACAAAGACAGCACCAGGCATTACACTTATCCTGGCTGTTGTAGTTTAGAAAGAATAGTACCCAAGGCAGCCTCCTCCACCAACAGAGTACTGAGCAGGAATGTGCTGAATTTCGGGTGTCAGGAGGCATTTGTTTTTCTGAGTCTCTTGTATGCGTGTGTGTGTTCTTTATCAGATGTCCTCACAAAAACAGAAAGATGAGAAAAATCTCCCAAAGTGAGGATTTTATCTGTTTGCTTTTTAAAATATGTTGAAGTTTGACATTCTGAATTGGGTAAAAGTTGGGTTTGGCATGTTAGTGATGTGGAGGGGTTAAAGGTTAATGAATCAACATGATTCAATGGTCTGTCCTCACAAGAATAGCGTTAAAAATACATGTGCATGTGGTGGGATTGTGTTCATATGCCAATGGAAGTCAGGCCATTGGCTTACAGTGGGTGTGTGTTTGTGTTTGCATGTGTGTGGGTGTGTGTGTTAGTAGGAACGGGGCCAAGTGTGAGCGGGAAACACTGTCACTCTTACATAAACAAGCCTGATAGGGGAGACAGGCAATGGTTGGGTAAGTTTTTGTAGGGTTAGCGGTGGAAGAAGGGATGGATAGAGAAAGAGCACTGTGGTGGTGAAAAGTAGCGCACTGACAGATGGATTTTGTGTGTGTGTGGATGTGTGTGCGTTTCCTCAGTGGTTCTTGCTAATGGCTGCATTGTGATGGTTTGTGTGTGTGTGTGTGTGTGCGCGCACATGTGCATGCATATTTGTAGGTCCCTTCCAGTTTGAATTATCTGGAGTCTGTGTGTGTGTGTGTGTGTGTGTGTCTCCTTGCCAGTAACTGCTGCGTGGGCATGTAGTTTGGATCCACATGTACTCTAGCAGGGACTTTGTCCTTGCTTTCCTATCAACACTCTGTTTTTCTCCTCTGCAGTAGAGGAGGGGATGGGGGGCAGATAGGGGGCCTCCTCTTCTTCTTCTCCCCCTCTCTGTTTTTCTCAATCGGATTAGTTCTGTTACCTTCTTCGTCCCCTCCTGACCGTCTTTAATACTCTCTTCTTTCTTTCTGTCTGTCGTATTCTGGTGCTGAGTCTGTGGCCTCTCAGTGTGTGTGTGTGGATTTTAGGGTTGTGTTATTTGGTGTGTGTTATGTGACACTGTGTGTGTGTGTTGTTATTGTTGTTAGGGACCAGCAGATGACTTCCCCTCTCAGCAGGGAGTGTGTGTTTGCTCTCTGCTTGGAATGCAGGCCTGTGAAAGTGTCTGAATAGTTGGAATGTGTGTGTGTGCGTGTGCGTGTGTGTTTGTGTCCTAGGCCATGAATGTGAAAGAGAATACATGTATGGAATCTATGTTAAGCTTTTTTAAGCAGTTCTTTGAAACTTGTTGTTATTGAAATCAGCATGCCATCTGATGACAACATTGTGGTGCTTGTTTTCCCCACTTAAAGGTCCAAAGCAGCACAGTGTCTCAGTTGTTAAATAAATGATGAGATCCATTCCTTTATTAGATATTCACCATTTGACAGACAGGGCACCTGCTCTTAACAAAATGATTGACAGCAAAATTTTGTAAGAGCAGGTGCTCTGGGACCTTAGAATTATATAAAAAAATAAAAATTATATAAATAGCCTTAAAATAGACATAAGGAATATATATTTTAGAGGACTAGTTTGACAATTTGGATAATTTGCTTATTCGCTTTCTTGCCAACTGTTAGGCAAGGAAATTTTGTACCACTCTCATTTCTGTTTGGTAAATATGAAGCTACCGTCAGCATCTCAGTTAGCTTAGTTTAGCACAAAAAGTGGAAACAAATATCACAAACTTGCAGCAAAAAGTTACTTTTCCCAGCAAAAAAAAAAATAGTGCGCCACATGTAAAACTGTAAATTGTCATTTTTTTCACTTGGTTCTTGCGCAGATAAAACAACCTGAAAATTACCTCTGGACAGAGACAGGCTGTTTCACCCCTTTTCCCAATCTATATGCTAAATTAAGCTATCCCGGCTGCTGGCTCTAGCTTCATATTTACAGAAATGAGAGTGGCATTGATCTTCTTCTCTATTTCAAAAGGGTATTTCCCAAAATAATGAACTGTTCCTTTAAGCTCCAGAGGCACTTTATGTATGGCCTAAATCGTATGTTGAAACAACAAAGGGAGTTGATCCTCTGTAAGTGATAAACTGCACATTGTCCTCTTGACTCAGATTAAGTTTTGATGTCATGTGCCAAATGCCATAATAAAATTTAATAATAAAATACAAACTGATTACACTTTGAGCAAGTACTATCCAGGGAGATCTCCACTTGACAATGTATAAAGCAATCAGAGACTGTGCAGTTTACTAACCTCACATGATTTGTGGGAACTAACGTCTACATTTCTCATACACTCACAGCTGTCAAACATTTCCAAGTATACCGTTAACTGTGAAATTCCAGAAACACATATTAAGTCTCTTAAACTCCCTTTCTCTTCTATGTGTATCCCACAGGTGCTGGAGGATAACACAGGAGTCCGCCGAGTGGTGGTGACCCCCCAGTCTCCAGAATGCTACCCGCCCTCCTACTCTCCGGCCCTCTCCCCCACACATCACCTGCCCCCCTACCTGGCTCACCCTCACTTCATCCCCAACTCTCACTCTTTCTACCCCCCTGTCAGCCCCGGGGAGCTGTCCCCCCACCAGTACTACCAGCACCACCTTCCCCCCATGTACGGCGATCCAGGTACTGACATGCTGACTGGACTTTATGCCACTGCCAAAAAATCAGGGGTTTAATGTGGAATAAAAAATTCAATTATTAATCTGATTAAAAATATGTCAGACATAAATTCTCTTCCCTTCTTTCATCTCATCTCCTCTCTTCTCATCTCCTTCAGAAATCATCCCAGTTTATGGGATGTCTAACTACATAGGCAGAGAGGAGACGTACAGTAAGCCACAGCCCAAAAAGATTAAGGAACAGAGACAACTAGAGCGACAGAACCGACTTAACTCCCCACCCTCCACTCTCTATAAGGGCAGCCTGGGGCCAGCACACAATGGATACAGGTGACCATACTGCTTCTGTGGCCCTCTGAGATCAGCTTTGACTGGAGGATTGATTGTCTTTTTCACAGGTTAAATGATGAACTGTTTGAAGAATACTCCAGTATTCTTTAAGTTATTTGAGTTGTTAATTTCCCCCTCCGAAAATGTCATTGTTTTGGACACATTTAACTTTCCACACCAATTACACACATTGATGTGGTTGTTATTGTGGATGCTCTGATCTGCCAGAACACTGTCATTGCTAATACTCACTTGACTAGGCGATTAAGCGTCGAGTATCAGCCATGAATTGACTGATCCACATTAAATAGTACTCAGGAAAATAGTTTCTTTGTCAATGTCATGATAAAATACAGTGTTTCTGCTATCAGTTAGATTAATTCAGCTGACTCAGCTTTAAGTGCCCAGCATTGTATATAAAAAAACAACACAAAATAATAACAAGATACTTTGAGTTGATGTATTGATATCAGGCTATAAAAAGTTGGATTGGTGCATCCCTAGTTGTTATTTGTTTTCAAACCTCAATAACAACTCAAGTGCTCATTCACTGCGGTCCAAAATCTTCCTGGTCACAAATATGGATTGATATTTCCAAGTTTTGGCTCTCTTTATATAATTTCTCTCCTGTAACTAACATTAAGTGTCGTTGCAATTTTGTTTGTGACGCAGCAACAAATCACACGCCCCATTACTTGGGTCAGTGGGGTCCGGGGGCGGAAACAGCAGTCCAGGAGGGAAGAAGCCAGAGAGACGACTCCGCAGCAGTCCACGAAACAGTGAACCAGAGACACACACACAAGGTAGGACACACACACACACACACACACACACACACACACACACACAAAGCAGTAAGAGAGACTGGCACACACAGCTACAATGGTTCATAGTAGGTTTGAATGTATTCCTTTCCAGAAACCATATATGGTAGTTTCTTGCTTTTAAGCGTCAAATAACACCTTTAGTCAGTCAGTCACACTGAACACAAACTCACAGTTAGACACAAACACAAAGAAGGATGCTAAATTCAAAAGAGCAAAATCACAAGACCACAGTGCAATATGTGTTTACATTTTTTATTTTAAAATTACACTCCAAAACCAACAACAAGGAGATGACCTCTAATATCTGTGTGTTCTTTCATTTACATGGCTACAAGTCAGAAAAACACCACTATGGGGAGTTTTTATTTTCCAAACAGTTGATATCTCAACATGCAACAAAACCAGCTCATATATCTTTGTGGAAGAAGAACTTCTGTCCTCACTGACCTCTCTGTCTCTATGTGACTGGCTTTGTCCTGTTCAACCTCCGTGCCCCTCTGCATTCAAGCGGGCCAGATAAAACACACCTTTCGTTCCTCTCTTTCTCTCCTTTTTTTTCCTCATAGAAAATCACCCCCCCCAAAAATGAATGGATGTATGCAGCCTCACTGAGGTGAAGGGATCCAGGGGGGAGGGTGGTGGTGGTGGAGGGATTAAGGTGGGAAGGTGGGGAAAGGGGGTAAGAGAGGTTGTCTGGGTAACCACATAGCTGAACCCGTCCCTGAGCGCTATCGTTTTACCCTCGCTACAATACTGGCCTTGTTGGTGCAGGCTGAGCCACAGGGGGGGTGGGTGAGTGAGAGGGGAGACAGGAGGGGTAGGGGGGAGTCACATACCTGTAGAGTCCTGCTTGAGATGAAGGGAACCTTTGAGCTCCGAGATTTAGACACCACAGCTCAGCCTTATCGCACACACACATAATGAAGTGCACATGCAGAGACATAAGGGCGCGTATACACACGCGCGCACACACACTCACACACACACACACTTGTGGTACTGTTTCTCTTTAGTGGCATGTCTTTTGACACATCAGATGTCTGAGTTATTAAAAAGAGCAGAGTATCTCATTTATACACACACATATACGCGCACGTGCACACACACGCACACACACAAACACATAAAGCACACATGGTTATCTGCAAAGGTGATGACAGAAAAACATTAGAGGCCTTTATCTACTCCCTCGTTGTAACTTTTCTTTAAATTCACCGTCCTCAACAAACTTTGATTTAGTCGCTCACAGCATTGTGTCGGATAAGAGGAATATTACATCTGTGTCAGGTGTGGGAATGCGTGTGTTTCCCCAAATCCATGAGAGTGATATAAAATTTGAGCATAACTTAAGTGATTCTATGTCCTGCTCATAAAGAAGACCTTAAAAGAAGTTTTGAACATACCCATGTTGTTATGTAATTGTATTTTTGTGGAGACAGACATAATTGTTTTGTATATAGAATATTGTGTGGATATACTTTATATTTTATATTTAGAAAAAAATTACATTTGAAAAATTCGGCAGCAACCATTCTTAGTTATTCTGGACAATCCATAGAACAGGCTGTCAGTTTTAATAGGGACTATTTTTTTCAATAGAATGTAGTGCCAATTTAAACTGTTCACTAGGTCTGAGACTGTTCGCCGATTAGCTGATTGATCAGTTAGTTGATCAACAGAAGATTAACTGACAACAAATTTGACAATCAATCCATTATTTGTTAGCAAAAATACCTAACAATGTCTGTTTGCAGCTTCTAGAATGTAGGTTTAATTACTATTACTTAGGGCTGCAACTTACTGCAACTTTCATTGTTGATTAATCGATTAGTTTTTGGTCTATAAAATGTCAGAAAATGGTGAAAAATGTCAATCAGTGTTTCCAAAAGCCCAAGATGAATTCCACAAATATCTTGTTTTGTCCGTAACCTGAAGATATTCAGTTTATTGTCATAGAGGAATAAAGAAATCGGAACATATTTACATAAGCGAGAATCAAATATTTTTTCTTAAAACTAATTAATCGATTATCCAAATTGTTGTCAATTAATTTAATAGTTGACAACTAATCAATTATTCCATTTATTATTGCAGCTCTACTTTTAATACTGTTCCATTTTCTATATATTTGTAAAGTGAGTATCATTCGGTTTGCGGCAGTTGCAAAATAAACAGGCTAAACCTGTTTGGACATTTTATTCACACAACAATTCATCAATTAACCAAAAGATCACTGACAGATGAATTAATAAGGAAAATAATGATTAGTTGCAGCCCTGTTGTTCACTACAAAGTCTGTAAGTTATAGAGAGTTATGACGATATTAGCTGTTGATATTGCTGGAGAATTCTATTCACATCGTTGTGTAATTCATTGCATTTGGGCTGGTTTGAGACAGATATCTGATAACATGCAAATAAAACAAAAAATATCAGCATGACTACATACCGCTTGTATGTAAGTGAGTTAAACATATTCTGTTGTGGTTAAACTGACCCTTTAAAAACATGTCATATATGTTAGTATCATTGCTCTCATACTGAAATGCATTTAAACCTGCACACATACACATAGTGTGTGTGCAAGTCTGGACAAACACACACGTATACAGAAAAGGTGGCGTTTGCCTGCACTGCAGTGGTGGAGACTGCGCAGCTTCTTAGAGCGCGCACACACACACACACACACACACACACAAACCAGGCTGACACAGAACACATAACAAAGAAGATGAGTGTCAAAGCAGGAAAAGGAAAGCGAGGTCAACAGCTCTGCTTATGAGTTTCATAGTTTCATGTGGCACATACTGTAGTGTTCAAATAACAGTAACACACATGACAGACAGGAGCATGTCAGCATGTCATCGGTTGTCTTTTCTGGTCTGCCAGGGTCTCAGTACTGGGCTGGAGTTCAGGCTGAGTCAGCTAGATGTACCACTCAACACATACACACACACCAACACAAAGACACACACATGCATAAACATCCCGTGACTAGGCTTCCTGTAAAACAATCAGAGCATGAGGGTCCAGAGGATTGGTGGAAGGTAGGGGGGCAAACAGAGAGAGGAGAAGGGATTTGAAAGACATATGATGGAGGAGGAAGATGGATGGAAGGTTTGTAAAGACAAAAAAATCAACCAGAACACCTACATCAAGGAGCAGAGAGGTGGGAAGACAGAAAACAGAGAGTTAAAAAGCAGAGTACAAACATTCCGACAAAGTTGCTGCTTGGCCCGGCGCATCCAAGTATGGTCCAACCCAGAATACCACACACACACACACACACACACACACGCACAGCCGCCTACGCTTTGCCCTTGATGCCCTGTGTGTGTGTGTGTGTGTGTGTGTGTGTGTGTGTGTGTGTGTGGCTGTTGCCCCGGTGCCAGTAAGGCAGCAGGCTGACTTGGCGAGCACAGTGTCCATTCCCGAGCAAAGCCAGCTCTACAGACCTTTTTCCTCAGAACTGAGCTGCTTGCTGAGCAGAAACAGATGTGGGCCCCGTCCCTCTGTTCCTCCATCTTGGCTCTGCATCATCACCACCGCAGATCCTCTCTCTCACTCAGAGAAACTGGGATTTCAGCAGAAACAGATGGGGCAGCACCCTCGGCTCCTCCATCTTTAGTTCTACGTCACTGCCAAGTGCTGTGAATTCAGGAGTAACCAGATGTGTGCAGTAACTTCTGTGTCCACCATGTTGGACACCATGTTACTGTTGAATGGGATATGAGAAAAATAAGAAGAAGGGTCATAGATATTTTTGTTGTCTGCTGTTGTGGTATGAGAATTGTCTATTAGAGGTACATTTTAACTTTATAAATGATGTATAACTAGATTTTCTTTCTTTTTTCTGAAGCACACTTCGAGTCTCTTATAAATTCCTAAAGGGTCATTTTCAGTTGCACAATCGTCTTAGCAACAAAAATAAGGGAAAACATTTCATGTATCTTCAATATTGACATAGTGAATCTAAACCAAAGAAATATCTTAAGATTAGATTCTTCATTGCCAAACATAATGGCACTATGCCAATAACAAGGAAAACTCGACTGTAATCTAATCTTCTGTCAGTTCTTGGCACATTGACTTGATGAAACCTTTGTACTATTTATTTGAAATAATTTTTCTTCTGGCATATTCACCTGAAACTTGTATATGTTGATCTTTCCAATTAGTTTGTCTTCTTTTTCTAATTTTTTCATAACCATATTATCAAGTAAAGTATCAACAACAATATCAAGTATCAATACTTCATTTAAGCTTACCTTAAGATACTTCCTGCAGCACTCCTAAAACAAAGCTCAGTAGTATTTATTACACAGCAATATCCATCTTATGTTTGCTAACATTAGCTTCCATAACATTAGCTTAGCATGACTTGAAACTAATGGCTTCAACAGTGGTTAATAAATATTTACCAATGCTTTATAAAACAGTTATAATCCATTAATAACAAATTTTGGGTTGCCAGGTTGGTAAAAAAAAATCTCTTTACTGGTGAGTCATTAATAGGCAAGTCTTTCATAAAGTGATTAATAAAAAGTTATCAATGTCTCACTTTCTAATAAGCCCTTACATCTGCAGGTATAAATGTTATCATTAATAAAGGGTTTCAGGTTTTTCTCTGTCATCAATATAGAGCTCTTAAATCTGTACTAATCTGTAATTGTAATAGGTTGCTAAATAATGAGCTGCTGTTCAGCTTTTTTCAAGAAGGTCAGAGGTCAATTAGAGGGTCTTTTAGATGAACTAAAGAGCCCAAAAGAGAAAGCAAGTGTCCGCAACTTGCCAAACTAAGTGTTGTTCTTATTAATGGCTTTGCATTAATCAGTGATAAAAACATTTGTCACTGCTTATTTATAAACCCTTATAAATGGTGCCGTATTTGAAGCATGCACCGAGTAATACAGTTACTCTCAATCTACTAGAATTGAAAGTAAAGACTAAAAGGGCATTAAAACCAAAAAACCAAAA